AAGAGCGTAAAGAAAAAGGGAAAGGAATAATGAGTTTGTTGAGTACTGACATAATGGCCATTGCTTGCCGTGGAAAGAGAGTGATCATCGGCCAAAAGGGGCCCACGATCAGACCATGCCTCCAAGACCTCTTGATAGTTCAAGTTCAAGTTCAAGTTCAAAGACACTCCTTTCTCATCTCCATCTCCATCCCCATCCCCAAACCCAATACTCTCTTCCTTTATAACCTTACCAATACTGTAATGGCTTTCTTCAAACTCAAAGAAACTGCTTCTGCTGTCACCAAACTTAACCATTTCTGATCCTTCTTCATCTTCAGCAGCTGGATACTCCTCCAAGTCCATAAAATCCCAACCAAGTTGGCTGTACATGTTATCATTTGACAACATCTCATCATGTTCAATTCCAAAAATCCCTTCCAATTCATCCACGACATCAATCTCTCCATTGCCATAGGATTCTTCTTTGATGTTGGAGAGTTGAGGAACAACGGTATCTGGGACCTCTTGTTCTTCCTTCTTTGGGCTTTTCAAGAAAGAATTGTACTTCATCCTATCTCTCTTTCGTCTGAGTGTCTTTCTCTTTTCACTCGTGTACTACGTCTGCATAGCAGGTTTGAATACTATAAGATATCTGAGAAGAGTAGGCAATGTGGATATTCATGGCCATTTCTTTCTTTATAAGAACTTGTTCCGACGTGGAATCTTATCTCCTCTCTATTGGTTGCTTCACTTCCTTCTTTCTTTTGATTGGCCCATAGGATCCAGCCTGGAGGAGTGTGGGGCCCATTATAACCTTTTCGCTGCCTGTGAGCAGGGCCCCGGTGACATGTTGAAATGTTGCCTTTGCATCAAGAAGCATGTGACTTATTGGTTGATTAATCAACTCAGGATCTCACAATTTCCTCCTCCAGAGCCGTCGCAAATTTGCAGGTTGGGTAAATTAATGTACGTTGACGTGACTTGTGTATGGAAATTATAAAAATACTTTATATTAAAAATTTTGTTTGACAAAACAACTTCAGCTAATTTCCTTGAAAAACATGAAATAGATTAATCGATAAATTAGATACATAAGCTTGATTGACTGTTCGTATATTCGGTATTTTTTCTTTTTTCATGAAGTAAAATTCGAGTTTCAGAAATTCTAGATAAAGATTCAAAGATTTTAAAACTTCTTAATAAGTTGGAAGGAAAAATGATTAATTTCTTATTAAAACAAATATTAAGTTCTTAGCTAACTAATATTATTAATCATGGCCAAGATATGTGATTTTTTTTTACACATATTATAACTAATTTTCTGACCTACTAAACTTTTTACAAATTCAATAAATAAATAAAATACTGTAAAAATAATAAACATATAAATAATCAAATTCAAATGCTAAAAAAAAAAATCTCTTTTGTTAAGTTACAATCTCAAATGCAATATGCAATAATATGAATTAATTAGTCGTTGTAATTAGTAACTTAATGGATGATTTTTTACTTATCTTTTCAAGAAGAGCATTTCACTTTCAACAAGTAAACAGGATAAAGTTCAAATTAATGCAATATCAATAACACGTCAACAAAAACTAAAACTTGTACATGTAAAACACTCTAACTATTTTTATTGTTCATCTTCTATTAATTCACTGTGAAATGTAATAACATTTCTTTTTAAAAAATCAACTTAATTATTTTTTATATATAATTAAGCTATTTTAAACTTAAATTAGAGCTAAAATACATTTGTTTTTAGGGTGAGGGTTGGATTTACTAACAATTTCTCTTTTTCTTAACATTTACAAATTATTCATTTTTTTTCTTTTTTTTTATATTTTACTAAAGCAACCCAAAACAATTTTTTTATTAAAAAAATTACCCATCATAATAAGTGAAATTTTGGAACACGGTATAAACAATATTTCTAAAAAATTTAATTTTTTTTATATGTTTTGGATATTTTAATATATTAATCTTAAAAATAATTTAAAAAATAAAAAATATTATTTTAATATATTTTAACATGAAATTAAACTAATAATTGAAATCACGTCTAGTAATTTATCATATCATTTAAGTTTAACTTCTTTTTTTTAATTATTTAATGGCATTGATTATAATTAAAAGCATGTTTGATCTCGTCTTTCTAGCTTTTATTGATCTGATGTGAAGCAAATCACTGCAAAAAAAAAAAATACATTAGAATTTTAAATATTAATTGCCTTGTATTTTAGAATGAAATGTGATTTTTACATAAAAATAGTGTAAACATATATTGCTCTCTACTTCAAGAAGCATAAATGATTTATTTTTTAGATGGAAGACTGTTCACTTTATATAAAAATAAAAATAAAATCTTAAATATTTTGAAATTAATTAGCTTTAATCATTTTTTATACCTAGTAATTAAATAATGTTTAATTATATAGTTAATAGCCTTAAATATTTTAAAAACAATGTACCTCAATTATTTTATATAAAGTATACTAATATCCATTTTAATTAAGTTAATATTTAATAGTTATATTTGCTAAAAAAAAGTTAATTATAATATAGTATTTGTATTTTATCAAAATAAATTAATTAATCATTGTAGTATTAGAAATTAAATAGTCTTTTTTATCATTTTTTACCAGGCATGATTTAATAGCATTTTATTCCATAAGAAAATGTGTTCTTTTCTCATCAAACTTTCCATCGTATCTACTTATTTGTTTGCCCTCAAAATAAAGAATTAAAATAAAATGAAAAATATTATAAAATGGAAGAACATTGATTAAGTTATAGATTGATATAAAAACATAAGGATTAAATAATAACTTTTGAAATTATGAGAACTAATTGATTATTTTTGCTAAACTATAGGGACTATGTTACAATTGACTCTAAAAACTATTTAGCGTTTTTTTTCATTATTGTATTTCTTTTATTATGTTCTTGTGTAATTAAGAATTTGTCTTTCAAGCATTTCTATTTTTCTTTCATAGCTTTTACTTGGAAAATAACCATAAGCATGTTTGTCCTCGTATTTTCTTTTATAGCTTTTACTGCTGTACTTTAAAGCAAAACAAAAATTAAAATTAAAATAAAAAATTTTTGGTTATGAATTTCAAAATTAGTTGCTTAATTTCAAAGAGTAGAATGTGAATTTTGATAAGAGTATTTTAGAGATATAATATATTTTAAGATGAAATACTTCTTATCCCATTTAAAAGATAAAAGTCGGCCTAAAATGAACCGGAAAATGCAGGCCAGGGCCGGAAGCAGGCTTGGCTGAACATAACCCAGCCCAAGGTAAGAACAAAGGTATTATTCTTTGAGGAAAGGTAGAGAAAAAGAAATGAAATGTTAAAAACAACGGTGATGGTCAACCTGTCCCCGACATGCCTCCTCCAAGAGTGACCCAAGTCTCTATTACCAGGCTTTATCATTGAATTAAAATATTACAGTATTAATAGTGTTGAGAGTAATTATTTTTTAAAATATTTTTTATTTGAAAATAAATTAAAATAATATTTTTTTCTTTGAAAAAATATTATTTTTTATATTGATATTGATAAAAAAAATATAAAAAAATCAATTTCAAACAATGTTTCTTAAATTTTAGCCAAACCTTCTTTGAAACGCAAAATTATGAGATTTTAGTTTATTACACCGTTGTCAGCCTTCTCCCAATAAAATTTCTCCTTATATGTCAATTTCATAAAATAATTAGTTTATTAAAATTAAAAAACTAATTAAATTAAATATTAAAAAAATAATTGTTTATGTATATACTAAATTTAATCTTTCCTAACCAGACATCAAATAAACTTCTATTCAAACGAAAGCACTCCAATCGATTATTTCATCACCAATGTTATTGTGAGTAGCTTTAACATTTATAAACTTAAATTTTAATTCATTCATTAAAATTAATTATTCAAACTTTATTCATTGTTTTTTAAATTTTTTTATATAGTAAAGGAAAACATATTTACATATTGTAATCATGCTTCCACTTAGCAATAGTGTAAACATCTTACTTAGAAAAAACATTAGCTTTGTGAGTCATACTCACACTCGACGAGCTTATATCAAGAAAGGATGTTTGAGGTGTCTCATTATAGTGAGCATCTAATGGCACTGCTACTTATGTTTATTAGAAGCGCTGCCAGAGAAACCAACAATGCTCCTATCCAACTTTGTCTTTACTAATCTTTTCTTTCTCATCTAAACAAATTTGATAAAAAAAAAAATAATAATATTATCATTATATCCTCATTTTAAAAAAAAATAGCAAAACCTCTCCTTTATAAAAGTTTACCCAAAATTTTAAAACCTAAAAAAATATATTAATAACTCATGTTGCAAACTAGTTGATTTTATTTAGATAGCTCATTAGCTACACCTTTAAGTATTTGATATATTTATCAAATTATTCGATTGATTATGATTAGTATTAAAAAGTTATTGGTGCCACTTTTCTAAACTAACTTTTTACCCCATTATTAGTTATAATTTCCCTAATTTATTTCTCAAACATACTAGTTTCTATACCAAAACACTTCACACAATCTATGTCAATATTTTTTAATATATCTTGGATAGTTTCTGAACTCTATAATTCATGCACACCAAAAACATTAATCCATAATTTCACTCTAATCCATTACATAATGACACATTTAAGGTTTTTCAATGTTTCATATTTATATTTTCCCGACACATATTTATAACATGACATTTACGTAACTAACCACAAATCTAATCCTAAAACACAATTTATATTCTGCTCCTCTTTCTTTCAATACCATAACACAATATATAACCTTTTCATTAACATTATTTAAAAACATTAAGATGAACTTAATTTAATCAAATCTCCAATTGTTTTAAAACACCTAACATGGTTGGCCACTTATAAGTCTAAATTTTATGATTTTTAATCCAATTTATACTTAAATTTGTTATCATTTTCATACCAGGCAACTAACAGTTCATTAAAACAATCATTCCCCTAAAAGGTTACATAAATTCTAGAATTGAATTTTTAAGATTTTCTTCATTCTTACACCTAAACCTACTAAAATAAAGAAAACTATTAAAAGGTCTTACCAACCTAATTTGCATACAATTCATTGATTTATTTGCAAGCTTTTCCTCTTGATCTTCTTTGTCCTTCTCAAATCGTGTCTCTCTCCCTCTAACAATCTATTTTCTCTTGTTCTTTCCATCTTAAATCATTTTTTATACAAGTTATTCCTTTAAAAACCTCACTTCCTACCTTCCTAACTTGTCTATGCATTTGTAGTTAACAAAAAAGAAGAATAATAAAGAATGCGAAAAATGTGTTTCTCTCTCTCTCTCTCTCCCTCTCTTTGTTTCCAGTTGCATTGTTGGCTTAAAATAATTAATAATTTTTACAGTCCATTGGTAATTCCATCTATAATTAACATTGATACTTTTTTAAAACCCCCTAAAATTTTTCAACCCTCGCTAATTTTTTTTCCCGATGATATTTTGTCCCGTTTATGATTCAATTGTTTAGTAGCTTTCCATTCTCTAGAATTCTTTAAAAGACTAAGTCCATTGGCAATACTATTGGTATTTCACATGTTATTGGTATTATTGTTGGTATAAAATAATGACAAAGTCTTTTAATTTTTTTAATGCCTTGGAACTCTTAGATGAACT